TTAGACTAATTCCAGCTCTGAAATCTATCAAAAATTTGTTCTCCCAATGAGTCAACCCTTTTTAAGGGTGATGCAAAGTAAAACCCTACTCATATACCTGCATATATACAAAATTTTAAAACATTTGGTTCAATAGTTTTTGAGTCTAAAGATCAAGCAATCAAACATTTATTTTAAACATATAGATGATTTTTCTAAATATATTAATATCTATACTTATCATTCTTGCTTCTATGTTTCTATACATCATTCTACGACCTTTTAAATCTCAATATTAACTATGTTTCTAATAAAATCTGCTAGCTTATTGCATTGCAATATTAGTTCATTTAATCACTAATCCAACAAAAAAATCAAGTAAATGTAGCTCATTCCTACCCTTTTCTTAATTTTTTTAAAGCTCTTAACAACACTTTTTCTTGGTTCTCAACTTAATATGTAATATCTATATTTCAACTGGACAAGAACTAATTTTCATAGAAATACATAATATAATATAATTATATTTTGTTCTTAAGTCTCTTGCTAGTTATATAATTATAATAAACAAGTAAGTAATATAATTACCTTTTGTATATTTCTATTTCAAATAGGTTGGTTTCAATGTCAGATAAGTGCTGTAAGTTTTCACCTTAACTTACTTTTAAATTTATTAAAGACACACCTTTCAATAGTTTTTGTTACCTGAAATATCGAAACTGAAATTTGTAGGTGGTATTAGTAAGTTAGTTAGCCACTAAGACAACAGCACTTATCCTATTTCATATTTTTAGTTTTTAAAAATCTTCACCTGATATGATCATGATGATGATCTAACCCTCAATGGCTCAATCTAACACATTTGCTGATTTGCAAATAAAAATTAAACTTTAATTAAAGTTTAATTAAAGTATTAACCTAAATATTTCTCAAATAACTTACTTATTTTGTCTTGCTAAACTACACAAACTAATTTTAATTAAAATTTTAACGCTTGAGAAAAGCAAAAACTTAAGTCTTAATATATTATAAAATCAATTATTAAAATTTAAATTAAAAATGTAAAACCAGCTACCTAAGCAATGTACAATTACAATTTGACACCGGCGGATCACCAAATTAGCATAATATAAATTGAAAAAAAATGACAAAAAGTAAACTTTTATTTTTTAGATGAAAAACCATTTTGGTAACAAAAACATCTTTTTCAACGCCAAAAAAGCTTTTCCTCTCCGTTCAACAACATTCTTTAATGGCAGACGTGCACTAACAACTCAAGTAGGACCAAAGATTATTTATAACGTAGCATAACGGAAAGCTTAGGGTAAATCAAAGCAAAAATGGAACATACACATAATATGCTAATTACAGAGGAGAGGCCTATTTAATAATATACGACACCTTCTTATTTCTCAAATTTTTCAACTTTTAATTATTTTCGGTAATGTCGATTTTATTTTTTTAAATTTATACCAAATAAAAGTAATTAATTAATTATCACATTAAATAACAATTTAAAAAAAATTTTAATATTTTAAATAAATGCAATATTCCGTAATTAGTAAATATACGATCGTAACTTTTGACTCGACCGTTGAAAGTGAGCGAAGGCCGTAATATTTATTCTAGTTATATGTATCAAACAGTATCTTATTGAACAAAATAGTATTATATAGCTTGCTCGTTAAAATCTATGCAATTTCGTAAGCCATTAATCTAAGCATGTCAAATAGCCCGACCCTTGACTCGAACGATAACAATTCACCCTCCAAATCTCCTCCGGAAGTAAGCTCTTTGTTCGACCGTTAAAAGTGAGTGAAGGCCATTATATTTATTCTAGTTATGTGGTTTTGCCTGCGTATGATATTTGGTTAAATATATTTGATAGGAATTGAACACAACCTTTATACCGGCTGATAAACTACCATGCAGTAAAATAACTACTGTTAACATGACGTCATTTCCTCCAACGATTTCACCACGAATCACCCATCCTATTTAATAATTTTTATTTGATGTTTTTTAATTAGTCAGGTCACAATCATCATAATCGATATCGCAAAGAAATGAAATTGAGAATTTTTTAAAAAAGTATCTTTATTCATTTTATAATACTACTTCGTTCAATAAGATACTGGGCAAAACTAAATAAAGAAATTCTATAGATAGATGTATATACGTAGGTGTAATACATTTATAATGTTGTATTTACACATTCAAATTGTACAATTGTGTTATGATGTAGTCTCAAATTATTTTGAATTCTCTCAGAAAAATTTAAACTTTTTACTATATAGGTAGTTACTTTTAATGACAATTTAAAAAAAAATTTCAATTTGATTTTATCGCAATATCGAGGATTAATGATTGAGACCTGACTGATTAAAAAGCATCAAAAAAAATTTCTAAATAGGATGGAAAATTTGTTATATTGGGATGTTCGTATATAAAGCGAGCAAAATTTTAATATAAAAGCACTTATAAATTTACGCATATTGGCTCAGCTTGGCTTGGCTTTGCATGGCTTGGTTGGCTTGGCTTGGCTCGGCTTGGAATCGGATGTTAAGCAAGGTGTGATCTCAAACTATTTTGGATTCTCCGAGAAAAATTTGAACTGCGTGCGTACATATATAGCACTGATTGCTGTTGCTTATATTATAAATTTATATTATATTATCAACACGAAGCTGTTTTGTTTCAACTTTATTAAACTGTGAAGTTTGGCTGACGGCCGTTTCGGCTAATGCCATCGTCGGAGCCTAGATTGTAAAACCAAATGAGGAGTTAATAATATAAATTATAAGAAATAGAAAATAGAATATTAGATATTAAAATGAATAAACAAATGAATAACAAACTATATTTTAAAATTAACTCATTATATTGTTGAAAATAAATTAAACGAATAAATTTAAAAGAAAAATTATGAATAAAATTTTTTGTGTATTATCGTAGTTGAAGCGTAGAAAGTTAGCATAGTGACAAGAAGTAATGCAGAAATTATGGGAAGAAATTATGTTTTGTTTTGTTTCACAACATACATTATTACATTCAGCAGGTACGCGGCGGTTCCTGGTTTTAGTGGGATTTTTATTTATTGATTGTTGAATATATTTTTATTCCTACAGGTCTTACTTTCTACGTTTTAGTCTTTCTTTCTATTTTACCATTTTTATTTTTATTTATTTAAGATTCGTCATTTAGCACACCTACTCAAACACACACATTACATTAGGTAGCTATATAGGTAAGTTAGATAGGGGTAATTTTAATTGTAGGTAGGATAGATAGGAAGCATCCAACAACCATTGTAGTTGGATAGGTAGGTGCGTAAGTTTATCGCTTCTATTTTTCTTGCACCCACATTACACGCATCAGCGTATTACACACACACATACACACACACACACACACACACACACACATACATAAACACATGTATTAGATTCTGAGCGTAATTTTATTTTCATTACACATTTTAATTTATTATTACTAAGGTTGAGAGTAATTTAATTTCATAGGTAGTTAAGGGCAATAATATAATTCTAGGAACAATCTTGTGATGTAAATTTTTTATCTAATTTCTATTTTCTTTATCATTAATTAAAAAATATTTTCAATATTAATGATAAATATACTGTTGAAAATATTACTGATAATGCGAAGAAATTGTTAGAAGTGCTAAAAAATTGTTTACTTTGTTGTTTCTTTGTCTTTTTTTTGTTTAAATGATTGAATGAACTTTTTGAAATAAATAAATAAAACAACTGCACATGACTTAGTTCTATAATTATTTAACACGTACACGCCTTTAATTGTTATAGAACTTAAGACTTACATCTTAAATTATTATACACATACACACGTAAGTTAAAAACATAAATACATACGATTGGCCAATGAATTGGGTTCTTGAGTTTTGTAATTTTAGGTAAGCTAGAGCTTAATTGTTATGAATATGTAAGTTGAGCGTACGATAGCCGATGACTCTGAATTTCGAAGTCTGTTGTCAGATGTAAGACTCGGTGGCCAGTGGTGAACCGGCAATGGTTTACTATCCGGTGCCTTGGTTGTCAGTGAGCCTTTTTGCAAGGGAGGAGAATGAAGGGGGAATTTCGACTATCGTACCATTAACAATTTAAAATAGATAAGGTAATTGAATAGATAGATAGGATTATTTTTATTAAGCAATTTGAGATGCAGGCACCGCTAAGCTTTCTGATGAGAATCTTCTCTTTATCTTTCTCCATCAACACGGGCTGTTACAACAACAATCTCGAGGAGGACTTGCACCAGTTTTGGAGGACAACGTAGGAACCGGACCGCATTCAACGTTCTACCTTTGTCGAATGGACGACGGTAAGATTTTTTTTACATTTTACTCTCTTTATTATTTAAAAATACTATTTTGCCATTTTCATTTTATAATTTTTTGCTTCTATGGTTCCAACATTCATTTACTACTACGCTAATAAAAAAAATTTTGTCTATGGAGAGAGGTTGGCAGTGGTAGGCGTCAGCACTTTTCAGATGGTGGTCTCATGATGATTTACGTATGACGATGGTGGTGTAGGAAGAATCAGCTCGTTGGCTGTTCGACTGACACTGAAGTTCGGATGACATCTAGTAACGACGATTTTTGAAGTAAGGTTTAGTTCCGTTTATATTTTTCTCATTCATCCACACACATTTACGCACATACATCAATACAACACACATATACACAACAACCATTCATTCAATGTCGTTGTTGTTATGTTTCTCTTCAACTTTCTATTTTCTTTACCGAACTTTAATTTAATTCATAGGTGAGTTAGGGATTGAGATGAGTTGAACAATCGTAGGTAAGCTAGGACTTAACATTAGTTAAAAAGTTTCAAGTAAAATAAAAACGCTAAAATATGTAAAATAAAATACCTAAAACATTTAAAATTCCTAAAACGTAGTACGTGACAAATAATTAAACGCTATAAATTTTGTTTTACCTACAAAACTTTTGTGCAGTTCACTTTTACGCGGCAACAATTTTTAAATGGACATAGAATAGAGGATTAGTTTAACAAGCGTATTAGTTTTCTATCCGGCAGAAATTGAATGTATGCGTTCTGATCGCTACCGATTTTGTTTAAATTAATTTGTTTTTGCGACACTTTTGATTTTTCCATCATGTCAGCGTCTCTGGAGGCCCGTGATAAGGAATTTTATTTGAAAGGTGAGAAGATAAGAATTTTGAGTGGAGCCGTCCATTATTTCCGCATTGTTCCGGATTATTGGTTGGACAGACTTCAGAAGTTGAAATTTTGTGGTTTGAATTGCGTTGAAACGTAAGTTGAGATGGATCTCATTTTTCTTTAGCTGTTAGAGTTCATCCAATTGTGATTTTACCTTATGTTCAGTAAAGACTAAAGTGAAGCAGTTGATAGGGATGTGCCAATGAAAATAAATTATAAAAAAAATTATGTGAATGTTCCTCCATCTTCAATAAAGAAAAAATCAACTTAATTATTAAATTAATGTTAAATTTTAATATTTTATTAATTTATTATATTAGATTTATTAGTAAAAACAGAATATATATGATGTTTTAATTTTTTTTTCTAATTCTTTTCTCTGGGTAATTTCAATTCTTAGCTATGTGCCATGGAACTTGCATGAAGAAATTAAGGGTGAATTCAAGTTTGAGGGAATTCTAGACTTAAGGTCTGGTACTATTATTATATTATTACATAATAACAACTATATATGATGAATGTGTTAATGTGAATGATACTTGTTTAATAGTTAGTTTTGTATAGTTATCTTTTATTGAAACAATATCTCAAGCCTCTGACTATGTATGTATATTTATATATTAATGAATTAATGATTAATATTATATATATATATATATTTATATATATATATATATATATACGGAATGGACGGGGGTTGGAACATTGAACTCAATGAAGATGGCGAGGGAAAGAAAAGGATTTTGGAGAGATAGAAGAATACCATCGGCCTCAACGGTCCCTTAAGGGATTATTGAATGAATGAATGAATGAATATATATATATATGTTGGTAATAGACCATAATTTTTACAATATTCTATAAATTCGTAAAAAAAAAAACTACAAAACTAACTATTAAATAAATTTGGTAGAATTTATAGAATATTGTAAAAGTATATATATATATATATCTAAAATAAAATATAAAGCATGTGTTATTCTATAATGGCATATTTGTAGTTCAATGGTTCATCATGTCATTCGTAACAGAAGCTTCATAAAGATGGCTCACAGCTTAGGTCTATATGTCATATTGCGACCTGGACCATACATCTGCTCCGAGTGGGAATTTGGAGGACTGCCGAGGTCTTTTCAAAATTTATCTCTTGAATATTACCTAATTTCATTTTCAAATAAAGATGGCCTATTTTCAATTGTATGTATTTCTCAGAGTTATTAACAGTCTTGATGTGCATGTGATTTCGCTTGAATCCTTCCACCGTTCACATTTGCATTCGAACACAGCCACTGCAACAGTTGTGCCAGACTCCCTAACCACTATGACGCTGCGTTTCTTAAGTTTTTTATTCTTAATATATTTTGATCTTAAACGTTTTTTTTTCGCATCCTCAGATGGCATATTTTCAGCCATTTAAATTGTATATGTTGCAGTATTCACATACATCAATGATTTTGATGTATGTGAATCTATATATTTCTCCATGTAAAAGTTGGCTCCTGTCAGATGCGAACATGAAAGTAAGAAGCTCTTACGAACCTTACTTGCAGGCTGTTGAGGAATATTTCAACAAGTTGCTGCCTCTTGTTACTGATTTGCAGGTCTTATTCCATTGCCGTGCTTCAATTATTTTACGATTGTTAGTGGGGTTGGTGCGAAAATAATGTCGAAATAATTTGCTATTTAAGTACATATGCGGCCCTTCAAAGGTCAAATAGTTCACAGCGGCCCTTACAGCAAAAAGTTTACCCACCCCTGCTCTAAACAATCAAATTTGCTGTTTGATTTTGAATACGCTGTAGTTTATGAAGCTTTTTAGCAGTATTATGTACAATAGACTGTTACAATAATTCAACCTGGTTATAATAAATGCTTGCACAGACAACTCTAGACCATTCTTGTCAAGATATTTTTTCATCTATCTGACGCAGTTAAATATTTACCAAACGTGAAACCCGAATTTGAACTAGCGTCATATTCAAATTTATTGAATTCTGCTCAACTCGCGTCAGTTGCTGCCGAGTGAAAATTGTGTTGTCTGATTGAGTTGAATTGTATGAGATATATATTATAAAAAATTTATAAGTTTGAAATTTGCATGAAATTTCTACATCAACATAAGTTGAGCAGTTAGGTTAAAAAGCCATTATAGCCGGTTATTCTATTATTGATACAGGCGTCCGTTTGTGAGTTATATTGCAGTGTTTAGGCTGCATGTTAACCAGATTTGTACTGATATGCTTACATTTTGGGATGGTTTTTCAAAATATAATAAGTTATTTGAACAAGCTGTTTATTGTTAATAAAATAATCACTGTGGATGGTAGTTGAATCGGGCGAGCTCCCTTCAACCATTATGTAACAGATTAAATTGAATACATTGTATTTTATTTGTTGCAACTATGGAAACAACGTAATTGGTGTGGGAAATTTTGTACAGTGTTTTGATATGCACGTACATTAGTAATGCAAACTATATTCTAGGTTTCTACTTTTAATGATGTTTCTATTTGGCCACTCCTTAAATAAACTAACCCCAACCCCGGCCGGCATCAGCCCTGCGTGCTCTGTTACGAGATTCTGCTTTACCCGCCATACTCGACAGACATTTCACTAACAAATTACCTTTTTTCAAATTACTCAACGACTTTTTTTGGGAACAGTGCTTCAAAACCGAAGACACCAGAAAAAACGCCTTCCTACCGTTCGTCGCTTCCGGAATCTCTAACTGTCACGCCACTGCCGTCAATGAACACTTCTCGCTGGCAGAATGCGTGCACAGCAATTATTTTTATTTCGATTGAATCTGAACTAGAAGCTAAGTAGTCGCATTTAATGGAGCGGGTGGTACGAAGCCGATGTTATTTTTGCACCAGTCTAATAATTCAATCTCAATTAATTGAAAAGGTAATTTAATTTTGGGGATTTTAACTATAAATACTTGAAAAAGTGTTTAAAAAGTCGTAAACCATTGTAAAGGTTAATAAATTTGAACTTCAGCATAGCAGAGGTGGGCCGATAATCTGCCTCCAACTTGAGAATGAGTATGGCGCATATGCTGCCGATCTCAATTATATGAACTTTCTCAGACAGGTTTCGTCCATTTAGTCACTCTATCATTCATTCATTTATTAGTTCATACTTTTATTCATTCATTCATTTTTGATTGTCTATCTATTCGTCTGTTTGATTAATTTCATTTGATTTTATTGGTTGCCAAATGTTCAAATTATTTTTCCTGAAAACTTCCCTCAGAACATGCTGAAGAATGGCATAGTTGAAATGTTGTTCACATCGGATGGAGGTCCCGGACTGCAAGGAGAAAAATTGAACGATGGTTCTCTGTGGCACCTTTTTATTCTTTAACATAGTTCTAACTTGTAAAATTTGCGTTTCATAGATGTGTCAGTTTGATGAATACTTTTTGGAACATTTTAGGTTCTAAAATTACTGTTCACATTTAATTTTTCGAATTTTAATCATTATTCTCTCCGATCATTCAATCATTCGGTTATAACAATATCAGTCAACATTTGTGAAAAGAATTGATGACATCATCATTAGTATCAAAGAAATAAGATTTTTAATATTACTAACAAAGAAATGACAATAATATTTCATTCTTCGCTTTATTAATCAGCTCCAATGAGCGTAGAACTGCTTATAGATCATTCATTCCATATTCAAAATCCACACCATAGTAACAAAAGACTAACGGTAATTATAAAATACGCAGTCCTGATGACCTTGAACTTCCAGCTGAAAGAGTACGGATACCTGATGCACGAGTACGTGAGGAACGTGAAGCAGCCGAACAAGCCACTCTTCGTTATGGAGTTCTGGTCAGGCTGGTTCGACCATTGGGGCGAGAAACACCAGATTCTACCGAATGAGAGTTCGATTGTTTTTATTTATTACCAATTTTATTGAAATTATTCGTAGAAACATCAGATTCTACCGAATGAGAGTTCGATTATTTTTATTTATTACTAATTTTTTAAAATTATTCATTGAACGGTCTCAAATTTTAGTATTTTTTCGTGTTTTGATTTGAATTCCTATCCACATTGATGTGAGTGTTTGAGTTTTGCGTTGTTAACATTTTATCTCCATGTAGTGGAAGTCGATCCTAGGAGAGCATTGATTGATAAGTTAACTCTTCAGTTTTGGCTTTTATTAAAAATGATTTCAAAAAATAAGTTTGAATATATAAATTTCAAATCTTGAAAACGTTTCTCTCAAAATGAACGTAGCCTTCGAAGAGACATTGAACTGGATCTTGGACGAATGTGGTTCGTTCAATTTGTACATGTTTCACGGAGGTACCAACTTCGGCTTCATGAATGGTGCTAACGAAACTACTGGTCCTAATAACGAGACAAAAGAGGCATACGCTTCTGACGTCACTAGCTATGGTAAGCCAAACCTGCTATTTGGTGAATATTTTTTTTTTTTATCTACTTCTGTCTTCCCTTAACATTCAGTTTTATTTGGTTCATAGTTCTTAATGTTATTTAAAATTATTTTGAAAGATATGCAACAATTGTATTTGAAACAAATTATATGGTGTCGCCAGCGAGAAGACGGCGAATCAACAGAAAACGAGGTGGGAGACAGCACTACTAGGGAAAGTTTGCGCCTGCATACCATATTTCAGTAATTGTAAGATAGCCTGGCTAATGAAGAATTCAAAGTTATGTACTGTGCTGTTAAAAACCAAGGCGATGGTGTAATCAGAAATTGCAGCGGCTGAATTAAAATCTTTATTCCCGCACGTTCAAGTGACGACACCTTAAATTCTAAATTGCTTCTTTTAAAATCTCATGGCCGCCTTAATTAAATCAAAATTCAGTTCCAAATACTCCAAATGATTGATGTAAGTGGATAAGAGGGACTGAGTTACGCTGCTTGTATACAAAGGTACAAATGCTGACAGGCCGAGCGGTCTCTTACTTGTTTGCAGAGCGTTAAAAATTACTTAGTGATGTAAATATATAAATGTAACTGGATGAATTTGAACAGATTACAACGCGCCGTTGAGTGAGAGTGGCCAGATGACGGAAAAATATTTCTCCGTTAAGAAGATTCTCAAAGAGAGAGGATTGCTCAAAAGTAATATTTCACCTTCAACTTTCTATTTATTCGTCTCGTGAAATATTTTTCTGCTGCATGAAATGTTTGATTGTAGATTTGTCGGTAAGTTGGTTGATTGATTGATTGGATTGATTGATCGATCGATTGATTGGCAGGCTAGTTGGTTAATTAATTAAATGATAATTAATTCATTGATCGATTGATTTAATTTTTCGGTAAAAAGTTGACGAGAGTTCGGCATGCCCTTCCTCCATTGCGTCCACTTCCTACGGTAATTGGGATGATGTCTTACACTCCATTCACGTTTTGATACATTCGTTACTGTTAGCTTCTTAGTGTTAGGCTAATCACATTCCACGGGCTGTCAGCATTGTTATCTGGTCCATCTTTATTTCAATTATACCATTAGTCTTTTTGTTCTTTTTATTGTTTTCACTATGGTTAATAATATTTTTACGTTTAGAACTTCACTTCCACACACACACGCACGCACGCAAACTCACATACACACACACACTCATTATTAAAGGCGAGTTGAAAATGACCGAGTACATGTCGTTGGATAATGCTTTACAATATGTCCAGGTTGTCATCAATGGAGTGTTTAGTGACGAATATGATTATGACGCTTCGCACGTGACTATGATTATTATGACGTCACGCACGTGACTGGGCTAATGAAATGATAGTGACGATGGAATTACTGAGGTGACGGGCGATGATGATGACGTATGTAGACGACGACGATAGATCATCACGATGATAACACCCCACGCAGTCTATAGAGAGTGAGAGAATGATGATGATGGAGGAGTTGCCGATCAACAATAATGGCGGGCAGGGCTATGGGTTCATTCTTTATCAGTGCCAAATCGAGGAGGCCGTCCAACGCATTCAAATTCAAGGCAAGGTCAAGGACAGAGCCATCGTTAGGATTTTTAGTATCTTTATTTTATAGTGTTTAAAATTTATTATTTTCACTTTCAGTTTCACTTTCTTACGGCGCACTTTCATTTTCTATGTTAGGTAATTTTGAACGGGAAGGAGATATCCACGGTTGATAGGAGGTGGGAGAATTATTGCCTAAATGTGAACTCCGATCAAAAGAGGAATGTGCTGCAAGTGCTGGTTGAAAATTTGGGCAGAGTTAATTATGCCCTCTACGGTGATGACGTCATGAATCAGCAGAGGAAAGGTTGAAATATGATTGGTTGACCTAATTAATTAATTATTAATTAATTAATTAATAATTTGTTACTTCATTTATTTTATTTATTCATTGATTTATAAACTGTTATTTTCGTTGAAGGCGTCCGCGATGTGTTGGTGAACGGAGAAAAAGTTAAGAAGTGGACGATCTATCCGCTAGAATTCAAAGAAAGTTTTATTGAAGCGTAAGTGACGATGATGATGACGATTGTTATTATTATTATTATCATTAATATTATTATCATCATAAATATTATTATTATGACGAAATTTTCGGCGACCCATCCAAAAGGTTGAAGAGTTCATCGGCCTGGCAGCCGTACGATGAACGTGTGAAGACGAGTGGACCGTGCCTGTTTAGGACATTTCTCAACTTGAGCCCTGCCGGTGACGCACGTGACAAACCACGTGATACTTTCATGCATATGAAGGTTTATTAAAATTATTTTTATTCATTTATTATTTATTTCATGCTGTGACCGAAATTAATCAATTGCTGAGTAGCCTAGCATCCCAACCATGTAAGATGACTTTTATTTGTTCGTTCGTTCGTTCACCATTCAAGTATTTGGTGATTAATAAATTCTATTCATTCATTCATTCATTTTACAATTTCCAGGGTTGGACCAAAGGAAGTGCCTTCATAAACGACTTCAACCTCGGTCGATACTGGAACATTGGACCCCAGAACACATTGTACATCCCCGGTCCCCTAATCGAATATGGTCCTAATCAAGTCAGGGAAATAAATTGTCATATATATATACATATATATATATTGATTATTTTGATGAATTACTGGCTAAGTAATGATGACCGTGCAGATAACGCTGTTCGAGTTGCACGGCGGTTGTGGGCGTGTGAACCTGCTTGCTGAGGGTGATCTGGGCGCTGAAGAAATCCACAAGGTGAGTGAGAACGATCGAACAAACAAATGAAATTATTAATTGAATTATTAATTAAATTATTAATTAAATTATTAGTTAAATTATTAATTAAATTATTAATTAAATTATTATAAAATAATTATTTTTCTGAATAAAGCTTCTAATTTTTAAATCTGACTAGCTACAATCAATACGCAGAAGATATTTTATTAATTGATTTGTCTAAACACGAGACCAACATTCGAAAAGTATCTCGTCTTTGACTGGTGCTTAGACAACCTCAACAGAGCGAACCAGCATGCAAATGAAAGCATTCACACAAGACAGAATCACTGGTGTTGGTTGTAGGTAGCACATAATGTCTTAATGTTTTATTAGCAGTGCTTATTAACACGGCAGCACGACTTCCATATTTTGTTATCTTATTTGGTATCTTTTGTGGTTAGCCATTTTGAATGGGGTCCCCATTACTCCCTGCTCACTAATAACGAAACGTAAAATAACCCACCCTACCTACCAACCAAACAACCGACCCCAAACATCCAACCGACCCCAAACATCCAACCGACCAGGAAATCCTTCCATTGAGTGCCCAGACGCAACTCTTTCTACTGAGAAACACGCTGAAGATGGGTTCCTGGGTCTGGACTGTCATGAAGCCGTTCGTTAAATGATTCCTCGCTATTAGTTCGTGATTCGACTGATTAGATGTTTGATTGGTTGGTTGGTTGGTTGATTGATTGATTGATTGATTTGTTAATATTTTTTAATAACTGATTGAATAAGTATTTCAAACGCAATAGTTATTTGTCTGATTAGTGATTAGTTTACTGGCAGGCAGCGGTATTTGCCAAATGCCATGCTGGCCTAACACGGTTCATAATGCGCAAACAGACCTGCTACATACAAGTTGATGTGAAAGCTTTCTTACATTTGCATGTATAATATATATATATATATACTTCCAGCCATTATATTATATATACATTTGGTAATTTTGTGATGTGATCTTAAAAAACACAGAAATACGTCAATAGGTTCATAAATCATACTTCACTCTATTGTTGGTCATTGTAATTCTTTGAAGGTCTATACGGATGAATAATAAATAATTAGCTGATTTTGTGTTCTTTAATCGCTGCTATGTTCATTTTTAACATGTATTAATTTATCAGTTCGTATATATATATGTATTGATGTTGAATAACATTGGTGTTGAATAACATTTTAATAATTAATAATAGTTATTGAGTTTGCTTCTGACATATCTTGAATGCCACACCTTGCTCCAATACCATAAATAAACTTTATAATTATACTATGACTTTTACTAGTAATTATGTCCATCATGTTCATGATTCATTTCTTACTTGATGGTGGTATGATCAGAATTAACCTGCATCTTTTTTTAAACTTTCAAATTATATTTTTATAACGCTTTTATATAGATAATGATTTGCAAGTTTATTTAAATACCATTTGATTGTAATACAAACTCGTAAAATTGATTCGTTTGAAGTTGATCTGAAATTGCAAGCCATAAATGAAACCGCCAGTGCAAATCATATTGATTAACGAATCAGTTATAATAAAGTCCATTCGATATGACATCAAATGAGGAGGAGGAAGACGACGACGACGATGATGTGATTTGGTTGTTGGCCACTGGCTGGCCATTACTGACTGCCTGAAAGAGCTCTCCATAACAGCTATCGTAGTATGTGATGTATTCATTTGCATTCGAAATATGGTTGGCGTCTGGGAGTGGCGATGAATTTGTTGAATCAGGATTGGATGATGTCGATGATAACGATGAGGAAGATGACGACGAGTTTGCATATTCATTGTAAGCCAAAGGATCATTTTGTTTGTTTGATATGAGGAAAGCATTGCTTGATACCTCGTCCGTAACTTGATCCCTGACGTAATTTCCCATCAATTGGGGATGTTCGACGCCATTTTGATAGCAGGGATGTACCTGCGTGCATTGGCTGCCACTGTACAACAGCTGATTAATGTTGTAACATCTCTGAGAATCGTAATAAGAAGAGTAGGAACTTGTGGAGTCATTCATTTGGCTGATGGGCCTTTCAAGGTAGTAATCATCGACGTGAACCATTTTCCAGTAGGAGTATGGGATGGTAGAAGTGGGACACGATGGCTGGTCGAAGTATTCGTAATTGTTGCTGCTGTTGTTGTTTGCTTTCATTAACTGCCATTGGTTGTCGGGTTGGCTGGACTGTGGTTCTGTCGGAAAGTTGCTTAGATCGGTTAGGCCTTCAAAGAAGCATTTTCTCGGTTCGTTCGTGTGATGGATGTCATCTCTGATAAATTCGTCGTAGGTTCTGCTGTTAGAAAGTTCATGCGAAGGGAGGCTGAACGTTGCTGGCTGACCTGGTGTTGCTGGGCAGTAAGAATGGCCAGGTGAGTTTCCATCAGCGCTTGTGACGTTCGCACTGATGTTGTTCTCTGAAGAAGGGAGCAGAGTCGAGTGAGGAGAAGGTTGGAAGTCTTTGTCGCATTTGTTAGAAAATCTTTCTAAATTAACTTCTTCATTTAAATAATGTTCACTTTTTGCTACATTATTTTTCTCTAATAGTTGAAAGCATTTTGATTTTTTATTTTTCAAAACCCGACTCGATGAAATTGAGTTTGACTTTTTTGTCGACGAGATCTGATTTACTTGCAACTGAAGTTCCTCCGATTGCACCTTGCTTTTGCAAAAAAAAATTTACGGAAAACTTATTTGAATTAAATTTGTAATCTTATCGATTCAATTGTATGGAAATAAATCTACGGTCCGATTAACCAGTAAAGAAATTTCTGTAACTCATAATTTTGAGGAACACGGATTCGAGGCTCATTTTTGTCACAAATTTATCACAATCATATATTTCGCAAACGTCATTATCGTGTCTCTCATTCGCATAATGTGGATTCATTTCTCTTGTAGTTCTCAAGAGAAAATGAACGAAAGAGAAACTGTTTCGTCGCCAAATCACATACACATAAAATCTTAATCATCTTTCGTAACCCGTTCAATTTTATAGACAGTTTTCTTTAAAATCGTTGAAATACAAACACTTGAAAACTTAGTAAAGCGAAAGAGAACTTGTCAGAATACATAAAGTACATCAACGAAACAGAATATGAAGCGTCTTCAACGAACTCTGCAGAAATTACAATAATGATCGAGAAGAAAATATTCTCGCTGACATATATTGCAACACAGAGTACGTACAGAAATGTGCACTTGTTTACTGCACATAGTTGTTCAATAATAATGTGCCAAGTGTTCAGTTGTTGGTTTAGTTTGGAATTTATTAATAAGAGGATTTTAAATTAGGTAAATATATTTTATGTTATCTTTGAGAATAATTAAGATGAAGATTGACAAACTTCCAAACAAAGTTTGAAAGAAAATTTAGGTACATAATTTGTAAAATTGATTTTAAAAAATGTCTATGTATGCAGTAAATCGCAGAGTAACGAATACGTAACCATAACAGACATTTAATATAGACTTATATCGGAGCTCCGATCTTGCATTCTGTCCAAGGCCTCCCATAGACTTAATCCGATTCTGGTTTTTATAATTGGATCGCAAACTTGATAATCCTATCACGAATTTTAGTAACTAGACCGTGAAAAACTTGAAGGAAAACCTGACGACGTGATTGACAGTCACGATGCAGTGGGGCCTGGAAGAGCGAGTGTTGTGGACGATCGTGGCGTGCGTTTGAACCCAGACCCAGCCCCCTCCCTTTGTTAGGAATCTGTAGTACTTCGTAGTAACCTGGCCTTTCATTAACACTGTATGTGTGTGTGCGTGTGTGTGTGTTTGCATGTTTGTGTGCTTGTGAGGTTAAAATAGATGTTAGTTTACACAGGTGTGGTGTGTGTTTTTGTACGAGAGACGTTTTGAATTTTGTGCATGCAACCATTAAACAGTAAGTAAGATAAAAAAGGAAAACTAATTATAAGCAACAGAGGTGGTGTACGGACGAGTGTTGTGATCGTATTGGAGAGCGTATGCGTCATAGGCGTGTACGAAGTTGTAGAGAGTTCGATCGATGAGTTCATGTGGCTCGAACTGCGTGAAGTGCGTCACTTTGCTGTCCATGAAGATGAACTTCAAATCCAAACTGGCCCTGAACATGAACATGCTGTTCGACAGTCGGACTTCTGTCGCTGTGCTGTTCGGTAGAGAGTTGCCGATTGCAACGAGTCCGACGTGTTCCTGCTGGCAACATGTAGCGCTGTCGTTGATGCCGCTGTCGTTGCTGCTGATGTGGTTGCTGCTGATATTGTTGATATTTATGTTGTCAATATGTGACTGTTGATACTGTTGAGAAGCAGTAGTTGAAGCAGTTGATGAAGAGTTGGAAGCTGCTGGCTTGGAGCACCTGATTTTGAGGTAGCCAGAGCAATGGATCACCTATTTAGGAAAGTTTAACATCGCAAACATCAATGCAATTTTTTCAAGTAAATTTAATAAGCCATTTACATGAATGAATTTTTATTGTTTTTCCACAATTCGTTTGTATTTAATATATAATATTTCTATACAATATTTAAATTAAATGAAAATTTTTAATGATTTATAAATAATAAAATGAACAAATAGACCTTGAATCCACTGGCAGTGAGGCCGGCATTCCTCTTCGCGAGCACGCACTTCATCCTAATGAAGACTGATCGTGCCACTTCATAACCTCCTTCTCCTTGTTCGTTCGTTCGTTTGTTTGTTTCGAATTATTGAATTAATATTTATTTATTTACCTGTTTGTTGTTTATTTTTCAATAGGACCATTCTAATTTACATACCTGAAAGCCGTAGGGAACTTATTCACTCACTTATAATTTGAATAATTCGATAAATTTCTTACTGACTATATACTTCTTTTCATTGCTTAATGGCCTAATCGAACGTTTATTTTTTTTATCGAACTTTCTTCCAGTGGCCTAGCGGTTAAGATCGACTGGTCCTGTCTCGCAGTGTCCGCGTTCTAATACGTATTCTTACAGGCTGTCCTTGGCCTCTGAGAACTTAGAAATGATGGTGCCAGCCACACTTTCTTGTCACATTCAAAACTCTCACGCGTAGGCAGGCATCTCTTAAGATCTTCTCAACTTTATGGGAGGAACCAAGTTGAAGATAATTATAAAAGGATAAAAATTTGTTTTTATTAAAGCTTACCTTGATGATGATGATGGTGGTGGTGGTGGTGGTGGTGGTGATGATGACGATGATGGTGTGAATGGAGCAGTTGAGCCATCTCGTCTTGATCATCAGGGTGTAAGTACTCGTAGATGCTGTTGCCCGTCAGTTCAACCTTTCAGTCAGTTGGGGAAACTTTCATTCATTCATTCATTCATTCATTTTTGCATTTAATGATTTTGTGGCATTCATTCAACAGTTCGTTCGTTCATTTGTTCGTTCGTTCATTCATCTGTTCATCCATAAATTAAATTCTTTTGTATTCCGTATCATTCATTTTTCCAATTCCGTCATTCAAACACTCAAAACCGAAGAGATGTTCCCCCTTAAAGACCTGCGACAGTCCGAGATGAACGGATACGGTTTCGGAGATGTACAGAATCTTACCGAGTTGATCGATTACGAATACGAATCCGTCCAACGTTTGCAGGATCTGCGATCCAAGTTCCCTGTCACGTGACGTCATTTTGGGAATTATTTTTCCCCAATTGTCGCCCAACCCTGAAAAAATAATTAGTTACGAATTGGTGCATGATTCGTTGGAATGAATGGTCCATAGATGCAGCTAGACATGAATTATAGCAATAACAATAATTATTTATTCTTTGTTAAAATTATTAATTTTTTTAGCGCTGGATTATTATTTATTTTCCCAACCTTGTTCTGTTGTCTCGCCCCTGAAAAGGCGATCAATCTTGACAGAACATTTGAGTAAATTTTTTTTATTCTTACAAACTTCGTCCATGCCAGCTGCCTTCCAGTTATCACCTACCATCACCTTCATACATCACCTTCCGAAAGTTCCAATTGTAAATTTTTTAATTTAAAAATGAGCAGACATCGTCGAGGCGTGGGAGATACAAAGCCATTTTCAAATGCCACTTGGGACATTTTTTCGTTCTCAACCGGCTGCTAACAGACAAACAAACAAACAGACTGACAAACTAACAAACAAACAACAAAATAGTAACAACATCATTAAATGTAAACAAACAAACGAACGAACGAACGAACGAACAAACGAACGAACGAACAGCATCGTTTATCTGACTGGCAGAAGCTGTTCTGAATGGCCGATGAAGACAATTGGTGAATAAAATTGTTAAATAACAATTATAACATTAGCTGTCGTCGTCGTCGTCGTAGTAGTAGTAGTAGTAGTAGTGGTGGTAGTAGAAGTAGTAGTAGTGGTAGTAGAAATAGTGGTGGTAGAAGTAGTAGTAGCAGCAGTAGTAGTATGTAGTGTTACTTTATACATTTTCTTGATATTGTTGTGAATATTTTTTAAAAAGTGCGATGAACATACTAGAGAATAATGAAATAATTGAAGCAGCAAGTAAAACTTGAGAGCCTCTCACCAGGTGGGTAAACAAACAAACAAACAATGATGACGTCACGGAAAAAGAACACGTGACTAAGTATGCAGTTGTCGGATTGGTCGGCATTGATTTGCCATATTCATACTACGTCATTATTCGTCGTCATCGGTTTCGACCATATATAAGTTGCATCATTATCATCATCACTATTATCATCATCACCATTATCATCATCATCGTCATCATCACCACCATCGTCATCATCATCATTACCACACGGAGAGAAGAAGCGGCTGCGTAATAACTGTGTGATGACTTAAGATGGAAGTCAAGAGGGTCATACATTCACGTGTCTTCCGCATTTTCATCCATCCATCCATCCATTCATTCATCCATCTATCCATTCATCCGTCTGTCCATCCATCTATTCATTCATCCATCAGTCCGTCCATCCATCCATCCATTCATCCGGTGTTTATTCATCTGTTCATTCGTCCATCTATCCATCATTTTATCTATTTATTCATCTATCTACTAATTCATACATTCATGGTGACGACGATGAGGATGATGATGATGGTGGTGATGCCGTGTCGGAAAGTTACAACTAATTTGAGCACGCATATTTCTGACCACAGGAACGTATAAGTACATTTGTGAGAGTATGAATGAGTGTGAATGAGTGAATAAATGAATGAATGAATGAGTGAGTGAGTGAATGAATGAATGAATGAATGAATGTGTGAGTGAATGAGTGAACGAACGAACGAATGTATGAATGAATTAATTAATGAAAAAATGGAAGAATGAACGAATGGATGTTTAAACATAAAATCGACAAAACCAATAAACATTGTAAAGAATTATCGAATGAAAAAAAACTAACAAATGAATGAGTAAAAGAATGAAGGAATGAAAGAACGAATGAATGAAGAAATGAATGATGGACGAAGCGAATGTTACGTGAAAGAGTGACACGCAGTTTCGGGTTAGTAGGTCAGCGCAAGCATTCAATCAGTCGGCATTTCAATTCTTCACGAACATTTTATCAACTCATCTTCAAATTATTTTTAAATGAATTATTAATTAATTTGTTTTATTCGTAAATTTTAATATTTATCCATTTGTTTCTTCACTCACTCACTCACTCACTCACTCATTCATTCATTCAATCATTTAACGATGGTTCATTCATTCGTTCGTTCAATCATTCATTCTTACATATATCGAGAAATCAATGCTTGTAAACAATGTAGAAAATGTATCTTATATAAATATTAAAAATTTATTACATTAACATCATCATCATCATCCCCACATCATCATCATCGTCATCCCTCAATCATCATCATTCATCATCATCACCACATCGTCATCATCACATCATCATCAGTCTCTAGTTGTCTGAACACGAAACTGCTGGCGATGATGATGATGATGACGATGGTGACGATTTCAACAACAACAAAAGCACAAACTATCACAAAAACGTAAAAAAAACGAACACCACCATCATCACCACCATCATTACTACCAACCCAGCAGCAGCAGCAGATGAAAGAATTAAACAACGAAATTAAATGGACGACGTTTAAAAATGAGCAGACCTTCATAAAGAATGAATGAACAAATATTTATATATAAATATAAAATCAATATTCTAAAATAAACAGAGGTTCTGAAGAAAGAAAAAAAGAAAGAAAGAAAGAAAGAAAGAAAGAAAGGAAGGAAGGAAGAAAGAAAGAAAAGAAGGAAGAAAGAAAGAAAGAAAGAAAGAAGAGTTGAACGAACCATCTGGGAAGAGAATGATGATCTTGAGGTAGCTGGTGGTCAGCCGAATGATGGAAGCCTTGTCCAGTTGGTTCGTGATGGCCTCAGGCAGGGGAAGCAGACGAGAAAGCTCCAGAAATTCCTGATTCTCCTTCTCACGCCGGCATCTGGCGGCATTCTTCGACTTTTCTTTCATGTTTTTGTTGTTGTTGGACGATTGTGTTTCGTTGTTTGCCGCGGGTTTACAAATTTTTATAAAAAATTTCAGTTTTATATTCTTAATTAGTTTGCAGATATTTGTGAATTTTTTGGAATTTTGAATTATTGAGAAAAACCGGAAAAGAATTCACGAGTATTTCAGGAAATATTTTTATTAAAACAATTAAACGAGATATTAATTTATAGAGATTGGATGGGGATGGATGCAAACAATCGAGTTTGATTGGCTGGTGGGCGGTCCAATTGGGAGGAACTTCTGACCAATGGATTCGATGCTTCACGTACTCGTTGACGAATAGACGAGATTCCTACATTGAGTTTCTGGCTATATCTTCGTCATAAAATGAATTGTTGGATTAGTTTATTTGCAACTTTCAAGTCATCATATAGAACTATCAATGAAGAGTAGAACTCGCAAAAAAATCATCTTTCAATCAATCTTTACATTTTTTATTCTTAAAAAATCCAAAGATTAAGTATAAGCATAAATACAGTAATAAAAAGATTAGAGAGACATGCAAACATGCAAGATAAGAATTGATAAGTGCCTGGAATAATGAATGAAATTCATAAAATTACGGTGGGCTGTATTGTCCCGGAGCTGTCTAATTAGTCGAATAACCCACAACGATTCCTAACGAAAGTATTAACTTTCCTCATGGAACGAATTCGTTTTTGTTCGGTGATTATTTAAACAGGTTTGAAGCAGGCGTTTTGTTATTTTACGGCCGAATACGTCATTTCGATTTTGAGACATTCTTGCAAGAATGTCTCAAAATTGGATAGATAGATAGATGGATAGATAGATAGATGGATTGACATCAAATAGATATCGCTTTGTCTCTCTCTTTCTCTCTATTTTTACAGCGCTCCGTGCAATCTCTCATCCCCAACAACTCGCCTGCCGACATAACTTTCGGGCAGTTGTTAACAATTAAGTTGAGATTTTATGTTGATGACTCCGTAGTCAGAATTAATTTGCAAGTTTCTTCTGTCTCATTATTGCCTCTTTCAATAACTTTCTAATGTAGTTCTCTCTCTCTCTCTCTCTCTTTCTCTCTATTTTTAATCTTCCTCTCTCTCTCTCTTTTTCTCGGTTGTCCTGGGAGGACACTGGCCACAAATAATATTCGCAATTGATTTCGAATATGTGGCCCAAATGTAGAAGTGAATGAGAACTTGAAATTATTGAGAATTTTTAATGTAGCATTTTTTCCGTGCAATCTCTCTTCGCTGCCCAAGTAAAACATCATTGAAATATTTCTTTCTCAAGCTATCCATCCATTCATTCATACATGTTAACGAAGATATTTCATTCATCTCACCATCTATCCATCTATCTATCCATCTATCCATCTATCTATCTATCCATTTATCTATCCATCCATCTATCCATCCATCCATCCATCTATCTATTTATCCGATTTTATTGATTTCTTCTCATTAAATGATTGAATTTTGACCATGGACAACCTACAACGTTTCAATTGATTTCAAAAGTTTTCTGTTAAAAATACAATTTTTGAGGGTTCTTATAACACAAATAATTTATTGAAATAGTTTTTATAAATATTTGATATAATATTTAACATATAATAAATATTTGATTCAAGAACATATGTTTGAATAACTTTGAATGGCATGAAACCAACTTAGCGCTACAACATTGAAATTATTTTGAGTTACTATATATATGTAAATTAACGTTTAGCCATTTATTTGGCAAGCACGTGTTTACATAATTGAGCATTTCCGATCGTGTTATCTCGTGGCAGATTAGTGAAGTTAGTAAAATTAGTGAAGTCAGTCGTGCCGATCGCTACGTATTTTATTCAATAATGGCGATTAATAAAAATAAAAACAGCGCTAAGAAGGGTGTGAAGTTCAGTAACATGGTCGGTTTGGGACATTTTTCGAAATTTTTCGATTGTTTTGATATGACTGTTTTTGTGTTTCATCAATTAATATTTAATAATAATAATATTAGTTAATTTAATAATATTTTTGATATTTGATCTGTTGATTGTCGTGTGTGTTAGTATTTATATTTTTATAAGTAATGAGGGTCTTTTTTTACCTCAATTTTAATAACTAAACTAACTAAAACTAAACTAAAGTTATGGAAAATAGTAAAGTAATAAAATTTAATAACTAGACTCTCTAGAGTTTTTAGTTAAAATTAAATTTTATTGATTTTTTTTTATTTAACAGAGTGAGACCCCTCAGCCATTGAAAGTCATGAAGTCTATCCTGAAGCCGAGTCCGATGTCGGAGTCAAAGGTGGCCGGCAAGAAGAAGGAGCAGGCGGCCCTGGGGAAGAACACCCCCAAGCAAGCTGCAAAGTTTGAATCAAAATTTACGACATCTGACATCGAGGTTGATATAGAATATATTATTAAGTAACGCCTGGAAACGTTCAGTTTTAAGTTATTTTTGAAAATTAATAAACTTATTAAATTAGATATTTTTATGAAATAATGAATAATTTTATGTTTATAATGATATTTAGTAGTAATTGTAAGTTAGGTTAGGGGTTAGGGTATAATTGTTGAACGAATGTGTGCAAACTTCTGACAGGTGGAATAACTTTATAATTATACATCTCTCAAAATATTCATGAAAGTTTAAAATTTAAGTTGAAGGTTTAAAATTTAGAAGTTTATTAAATTATTTAATTTCAAAGCCATGCTGGCGCTACAGATTGGTTCATTTTGGTGATGTTTCGATTTTTTTCACTTGCTAAACTTTCAAACTTGATTTTAAATTATATAAAAAAATTTGAATGGTTTGTTGGCAACTTTTTGAAAACTATTTTCATATACATCAGGGTCTCCTGCAGATTGCCAGAGCTGATTCAAAGGTTGTAGTAGATTAAAAGAATGTTCAATTAGTATGATGTTTCTCATTTGTTGGTTGATCAAATTAGTATGATGTTTCTCATTTGCTGGCAGTTCAAAGCCAGAATTCTGTTCGATTAAATTCAGAAAATACGATGGATTTGTCATGGTTATCTGTTTTAATGTGTATATCATTATATATATAAGTACTGGTGTTTTGGGTGCACAAAATGATGGAGTGCTGTCTGTTGTTGTTTGCTAATATGCTAATGATGATGATGATGTAAGGACGATTATGATGATGTAAGGACGATGATGATGATGATGGTGGTGGCATGAGAGTTATTTTTTGATTTCATTTTTACGATTAAATTGCTCTGATATTGATTAGGTGCGATGTTGCCTGCTCTTAACTAATTGTTCATTCCAATGTTGACAGTTGCAAAGCCAAAGAAGTTGAAGGTTGCGGATTCGACATCTGCCGAAAGCGACGATGTAGTGGACGAACATCGTAAAATATTTGGTCTGCACGTGTTTGGCATTTTGTTTTCTAACAACAAACTGCAATGTATTTGATGTCGCTTTGTCTAATGTTAATTAAACTGCAATGTTGTTCGTTCGATGAGTTGTTCTTCGATTGTTGGTGTTTGTTATGACTGACGAGTGAATGCTCGCTTGCAAACAGAGGCCATGAACAGGAGGCAGTTGTTTTTGAAGGAATTCGTGGCCGAGGTAACAGAGGACGACATACGGGCACTTTCAAGCGACATCATCGAAGTTAAGATGAGGAATTCTATTTCTCGAAATCCTAAAGTTAAAAGGTTTGTGTGAGTTGTGTCGTCGTTCGTGACGAGTTAATATGCCAGCACGATGCAATGACTAAGACCACGATTGTGACGACCGTTGAACGTCTGCACTGAAATCATTATTAGGTATGCTTATGTCCTGTTTGAAAGTGAGGAGGTGGCTGAAAAAAATCACGCGAGTCTGCAGGGGAAGGAGCTGAAGGGACAGTCTTTTGTTGTGGATTTCGTCGGCAGTAAGAGTTCATTCAAGAATGCAAACAGTGGAGGTCTCAGTGGACACAGCAAGGTCTGTCATCGCTACGATGATGCTAATGATCTGCTATTCATTGTAATGTATTCTTAAATTAAAAAGACGATATTGTGAACATTATTCGTTCATAATTAAGTATTCCTTTATACTTATCTATTTTATCTTTTGGCAAGACTTGGCAACCGCAATAATACGAAGGTTGTCATCCCTTCTTTGCCTCTCTGCCTTCGTGATCGTCTGTCATTGTAATCATAATTTCTCACTTTTTTCCTCACCAGGTCCAGCAAGAGTTCGACATGAAAAGATTGTACGTGAATGGATTTAATAAGAAGACAATCAGCGAGGAGAAGTTGAAGGAGGCATTCAGTGGGGCCACGATGGTCAACATCCCCATGAAGAAGAAGGACAACACGCCTACGGGGTAAGTGCCTCCTTCTTTCCATCAATCTGTCTCGTTGCTGTTGTTGTAATGCAAAATTATATTCTCATTGTGGTTACCTATTTTTATTACCAAAGTCGACGTTGAAATGTTATTGCCACTGTGATTTAGGTACGCATTTCTTCATTATGATGACGAAGATGAATGCAAGAAGGTGCAGAAGCAAGAGGTTTTGATTGATGGCAAGAAGCTGGTCATCATGTTTGCTAAGAAGGTTGTCCCCAAGGTGCCTGAACTGGTCAAGTCATCCAAGAAGGAGAAGGAGGAGAAGAAGCCGCAACAACCGAAGAAAGAGAACGCCAAACAACAACAGCAGAAAGACGAAACAGTTGCCGCGCCTAAACTTAAAAATGCCGCTGCCAACAACAACAAAACGAAAGAACAACTTTTGAACAAGGCAAAGGCGGAGGAACAGAAGAAGGTTTTGAACCAGTTGAAAAAGATTGATGATAAGCAGAAAGGTAAGAAGGTCGAGTTGCTTGATAAAAAAGGAAAAATGGCCGCTGGTAAAGATTCTGCTGGCAAGCTTGCTGCTAAGAAGGTGAACATCACAAAAAAGTCACAACCTGAACCTAGCGACGATGAAGATGATGAAGACGACGACGATGAAAATGATGATGATGACGACGATGAAGATGATGACGACGATGATGAAGACGACGACGATGAAGATGATGATGATGACGACGATGAAGATGATGATGATGACGACGATGAAGATGATGATTAATTTATACATTAATTTATCTGTGGATAGTTTTAACTGAAATGAAATAAGTTTTAAAAGTTGTAACTGAGCTTTGTAAGTTATTAAAAGAAATATTTGTTCGTGTTTTTTTGTTAAATTCTATAAAAATGTAGCGATTTTCGTGTTACGCCTGCGTTTGAATCTGCTTTTATGGCAAAGATTAGGAGCTAAGTGCTAATCACCGTCAGATTCGTTGCGAAATGTGGTAGTGTGCTTAATATTTCATCGAGAGAACATCCATCGGTTGCGGGGGTTGCCGATTCTTGCTGTGAATGGCAGGTTGCAGAGGTGCTTACGTTGGTGTGTGTCAGAATAAATTTGTTTCTAGCACATTGACGGAAATAATTTACTGGTTGCAAATCCGCCCTTCGACGGTACAGATGCGGATAATGAGATGCGGGTGGTTGCGGTTTAAAAAAATCTCTGCTTGGGGCTCTAGTACTTAGTAAATAGTTTAGATTGAGACTTATAAATAAATGTGCAAATTTTAAAAGTTATTTATTTTATAGGTAGCCAGTGCAAGAGAACAAGATATGGAGATATGTGAGAAAAGAAAGGGGCACGAGCAACTAGACGAGCAGCAGAGTTAAAAGCTTTACTTAAAGGATAGAGTGTAGGATTAGGAAGACCATAGTAGAACGAGCTGCAATAATCAATCTTAGATAAAACTAAAGAAGTAACAAAAAGTAATGTAGGATCGTCAAGAATAGGCGTAAGTTTTTATTTTACGTTGATGAAAGTAAGAACATCTAGCAACACTATTAATTTGCCAAGTAAAGCAAGAGACATGCTAGAATCAACGATGAAGCTTAGACTACGAAACTTGTGAAAACATCAAGAATTTTAGAATCCATTAAGATAATAGAAGGAATAGTAACAGAGTGTTTAGGTTTATTAAAACAAATGAATTCAAATCTAGAAAGATTAAATTTAAGATAAAAAAAACCAAGATAGGCAAGAATCAGTAATGTTAAAAGAATGGTCTATCAGCCTCAAGAGAATAGTATGATCAACAGTATCAAAAGCAGAGGAAAAGTCAAGAGCAAGAAGAGTACGATTACCATTGTGACAATGATGATCAATTTATGCACATCAATTTTTTGTAAATTTTAAAAATTTATTACATCCTTCTTAAGTTAAGAACCTGTATTAGGTTGTTCAGACAACCGGTTTGTAATAATTGAATTGAATAATGTTGAATTTGTTAACATTTTTTATAGCAAATTTTTTTCTGTAGAAAATGTTTTTTGACAAATAAATGAAAAATACTTTTAAAATCGATCAAAAGACTTAGACATATTTTTATATAAGCATAGTGATGTGGCGGATCTAGGCTGGGGCCGAAGAGGGCAGTATCGTTATTAAAATTAATTAAAGATCAGTTTATGCAGAAATAAAGCATCATTTTAAGTATGAAAAATTCGACAAAATTTGATGTGATAGGTAGGCAAAAAAGGTCGTAAACTTAATTTTAGTTACACTAGCAGAAATTTGGTTAGTTTCTTGTCAACCCCCGCAAAAAAGTATTTTCAAAATTTTCCTTCCTCCCCACGTCAAAGTTGCAAGATCTGGTGCCAGGCACATACCGTTACACCATCGCGCTAATATTGTTTTACATTTTAGTGTAAAATAAAACACTTAAATTTGGTTAGATGTTTACGTATAGGTTCTGTCTTGCCCAATCATTTTCTACATAAGGTATGTACATTTCTTTTGATTTAATGGATTTGTATATATTTCTGTTTAATAAACTAATTTTGTATAATTGTTTTATAATGATTACTGTAGCCTATTTCACAGGTTGATGTAATTTTTCTTTCGTTTGATTTAAAATAAAATTTGTTGTTCGTTGCTTGTGAATTTTATTAATTAATTTTTTTAGTTCATTTGCATAGCTAAAAGTGAATCTAAATAAAATATTAGTGCTGCCTAACTTCGTTACGTCGTCATAACAACTTTTCAACGAAATTTGTGTATTATTTTTCTATTTTAGTTATTACTTTATAAAAAATGTCCGGTGAAGTGGTGGTTGATGCCCTGCCGTATTTCGATCAAGGCTACGAGGCGCCAGGCGTACAAGAAGCCGCCTCCGCGCTCGTCGACGAAGAGATGCGACGTTACCGGCCGGCGAAGAATTATCTGGAATTCCTGCCGAACGCTCGCTACGACGCCTTCGAAACTGCAATCATGAAGAATGAATTCGCTCGTCTGCAGATGGGCCAGCCGATGGAAATGCTCAGCATGAAGCGCTACGAACTTCCCCAGCCGTCCGTCGGTCGTTTGAATGACGTCACAGCTTGGAAGGAATGTGTGGATAACTCCGAGGCTCAGCTCGTCTGTCATTCCTTAAAAATCGCGAACTTGGATTTAATGATGCAGTATGGTACAGAGACATGGAAGCATTCCATCGTGACACTCATGAAACTCCTTCAAGACATCGAACACAAACTGCACGGAATGAAGAAGAAAGTTCAGGACATCAACTGGCAGAGAAAAAATGAACAGATGGATGTGGGAGCCAAATTAAAAATGTATGAAGAGACGTGGGTTAGCTTGGTAAGTAAAAATTATGAAATTGAACAAGCTTGCCAAGAACTTGAAAAGGAATTAGCGGAGTTGGAAAGCCAGAATGTTTAAAATAAAAAAATTTGATGTTTAGATGTATATATATATATATATATATATAATGACAATTTATTTATATACTGATATTATGTGTAAGATGTTAATAAAAATGTGCTGGCCTTTTATCATTAATGAGTAAATCATTCAGCTGATACATTTAGTTGCTAACAGTGAATATAAATGACATGCATGTGTGAGTGTCTGACAGCATATTTCATAAAAACACTCACTTCATCGTCACAAAAAATTGAATGTTGTCAGCGATTGAATGGTTCTCTCGTGAGTGTGTATATTTTAATGATTCCTCCTCTCATGTACAAAATAGCAATATCTCGTAAATTTGTGTTCTCGCCATTATTTTTTATTGCAATATTAATCATCGTAATTATATTTTATTATTTTTGTAATTCACTGGGACGTGGCAGTTGCAGCTGGAAATATGATGTGCACGTTTTTTAGCACACGTCTTACCTACCTACCCATTAATTACTTCATAGACTTTACCTCTATCACGAAAAATTCTTGAGTTGAAAATTTGGATTGCGCGCACTCCGAATTTTTGTGTGGTTTGTTCCAGTGAACGTAAATAATTAAGTTAATTATGTGTGTGCGTGTGTGTGCGTGTGTGTGTGTGCGTGCGTGTGTGTGCGTGCGTTGTACGTGCATTGCCAGGTGCATGTGTTTCTGATTAGGTCGTAAAGTTTATATCTGAGAAAAAGAGAATAGTTTCCTAAAGTGAGAGTGAGAAAAAGAAAGAAAGAGAAGAGAGGTGTGTGGTTCTGTGTGAAAGTTCACTGATGCGTTTAAGCGCCTTCCGTCTAACACGAAACACATTATTATATTTTATTGTGTTCTCTCTCTAACTAGCTAACCTCCGTGTGTGCCTTACATTTTAAATTCGTTTATTCATTGTTCCGGCTGGTTATATTCTCATTAACTCTAAAGTGTAGCGACATCATAGTGAACAATGATACAAAGAGATCTCAAGGAGGCTTAATGCACGTTCGTTCGTTCGTTAGTTTTATGAAGAAATATAAAAAAAAACTTCCTGGCTTGGCGCTGAGTAAAAAAGTTGGAAGTATTTGTATCGGTCTCGTCGTCATGTTTTTTGACCTGTTGTTGCTTTTTTCGTCGCATGCTATTTTTGTTGTCGTTGGTGGTGGTGGTTGTTTGAAATGTATGGCTTGTAGTTAACTATGACACGTGTGTGTGCGTGCGTGTGTGTGTGTGTGTCTAATGTTTGTATAACGGTTGCTGAAGTTGTTGAGCGCTTAACTCCGCCCAGGAAATAAAGAAGACGATGAGAAGTTAATAAGGATTGTGTGTTAGTAGACAATTTGTTGAAGTTGTGTCTGTTGCTGGCTGGCTGGTTGTGTGATTCATTTGGTGGTGGGCTTGGCTCTTGTTATCAACGAAATGAAGTTGTTGTGTTATTATATTCAAATACACTTTGAAATAATTTCTATTGACATTTCGCAGCCGTGTTGAGCAACAGCAAAAACATGACATCAATAATTAAACAACCAAATAGCATCAGCGTTTTATTCATGACATTAAGAGCCAGGATTGCATCGTTAACAACTCTTGCAACAATAAATCTGTTGGTAATTGTATCACTAGTACGCATATCAGTTAAACCGAACGATTTAAATAACCAAGTTGAACAAATATCGCTGCATGTTATGAAACTAAGCAAGCACAAAGACGCGGGACAAGATATTTAAGCCAGAGCTCTCTTTGTGTTGTCCGAGATTTTCTCTTATTAAATTGCAAAAACATTCCAGATGCATAGAGTACAGTTAGAAGCTGTTGGAAACATTCACCAAAGAAGTCTTTGTTGAAGACTTGAAATTATTTCAATTACAGACAGATTACAGTTTTGCCGAGAATATGCCCTTACTACACAGCTTCTGAAATCGACGGATATATGAACTTCTGCTATTGGTGATGGTTTGGTGATATAATTGATGTTATTTGCGCTGACCTTAAAAAGCTTTTTGCTAAAATTTAAGAAAATTTTATTTCAGCTACGTCAGATTCGTCGTTGGCTTGGGCAACAATTTGTCGGATGGAGGCTCTACATGCTGACCTCAACAGCAATCCAAAAAAAGTTGGATGGATGTTTGTTTTAAACTGTTTAGGACAGAGACGGTGCTGGCTGATTGTTGATTTTTTTTCTTTGTTAATAATACCATTTTTTACTTTTTTTTAGTTTTGTTTTGACTGGAGCGATCGACTTTGCTTGATTTGTATAATGTTATCATGCTTCATTTGCACTCTGTCAATCATTTTATATGTACCAGGTCATGTTTTGGTGGTTTCGTTTCAGATAAAGCTTTTATAACTTTTAAAGTATTTTTTTAATTAACTCTCAATTTTGGATGCTGCTTATTATTTTTCTACACGCCCACTTTATTAAAGTCAAGTTATCAGCTCTTACGAATAAACGAACGAACGAACGAATAAACGAACGAACGAACGAATAAACGAACGAATAAACGAACGAACGAACAACGAACGAACGCAGTCAGTCAGTAATTGCATCGCCAGCAACGACGAAGTTCCACTAAAGAGAATCAACATCGACAACAGAATATCATCATCATCATCATCAAGATCAACAACAACGTCACGTGACTACCAGTAACAAAACAACAAAGAAACAAAAGCACACATAACAGACCAACAATAACGATTATTATGCACACCAGGCATGCGCGCGTTGTTGTTGTCGTCTGCGTGTGTGCGTGTGTGTGTGCGTGTGTGTGTGCGTGTGTGTGTGTGCGTGTGTGTGTGTGTGTGTGTTAGTATGTTAGTAAACCGTTTGAACTAATTTATATATTCTGTATTGTTCAATGGTTTTCTGTTACCATAAATATTATAACCAATGACTGATGATGATGATGACGACGACGATGACAGTTATGATGATGATGATGCTTCGGATGCTAGCGTTATTACTGCTGAAAAGTATTTTATTAATAACATAGTCTTTATAGCCTATTCCTTCTTTCGCCAATTCCTATTTCTAGATGCTGATGATGATTATTATTATTATTATTATTATTATGGTTATTATTATTATGGTTATTATTATTATGATTATTATTATAATTAAAAAGTTCGTAAGGATGACGACGACAAAGAACAAACAACAAAGCAACAAGAAGAAAAAGAATAACATCTGTCATATTCTTTGTCAGGCATATGCTTCTTTATCATTCTTTTTCTACGTGTCTGTTTGTCTTTCTGTCTATCTGTCTGTTTGTCTGTCTACCAGTTTTTCTGTCTGTCTGATAAAACTGCTACTTCTTGGTCTTATGCTATCACCACAACTCAATTGTTCTTCTTATTATTAATATTATTATTATTAATAGTAGTAGTAGTAGCAGTAGTAGTAGTAATAGTAGTAGTAGTAGTAGTAGTAGTAGTAGTAGTAGTAGTAGTAGTAGTAGTAGTAGTAATGGTACAGAAGGTACGAACAGTATATTGTTGTAAATTAATATCATACTAATGATGATAAATACACTTTTCGTTCTTCAACGATACTATTATATTTTCAATGCACCGATTGTGACTGTCTGGTTATCAGTTCATCATCGTCGTCACCATCTTCATGATGTTATAGTTTTGATATCAATTATAATCATTATCTCAATCATTTCAATCATCATTATCATCGTCTGTTTCCTGTAAGGTGAGGTACATCATGGTTTTGTGTATAGCTCATTAGGCGTTTAGCTCAATTTCCAGACGACGAAGAAGATGACGACGATGATGACGATGATAAAACACCATCATCATCATAACCACCACCACCATCATCATCATAACCACCACCACCATCATCATCATTTTAGTACGTGCTATTAGTCAGGCCAGTCCTTAAATGATTAATTTTTAAATTTATTTATAGAAATGTGCGTTATAAGCAATAGTAATTGAATATTTCTTTCATGAAACAGTGACGTCACAATTTAATTTATTCAATTTCTTATCAATGAATGCTTGCGATAGTAACTCTCTCTCCTCTCTCTTTATATTTGTGTGTGAGTCTTTATGTTTGTGTGAATGGTGCGATAAAGAGTTAAAGTCATCGGATGTTTTACAATTCTATTTTAGCCTTCTTCGGGGAGCACTGATCAACTGTTTTCGATCACATGAGGCCTACCGATGAAGCGCTGAACGGTCACATGGCATAACTCAGAGGCACATGAAACACTCGACTGAGTACGTGATATCAAAATAAAATAAATTGAATTGAATTCAAATAAGGTTCGAAAAGACACCTCTCATCTACTCTACTCTGCCTACAAGTGTCAGTCACAATGTTTAAAATTTTACTGATATAGTGAAAATATAATTAGCCATCAACAGTGGCCAGGCTAAAAAATTTTCTGAGGATTTTGCAGTTCTTATAAAGAGTTAATAACTTTTTTGCTTAGTACATATTTTTTAATGATTTTCACATTACAACCAGCATTTTTTCCATACAAATTTGCCAAATATGACTGAAACAATTTGAAATCAAAGTTTTTTAGAGGGATTTTTGAAATTTAACTTTAAGCTTAACAAAAACATCCGTTCGTGTGCAATGAAAATAAAAATTTTATTCGTAATAATGAGTACAAAATAGTTTAATCATCATTTCCGAAACTAGTGTTGAGATAAATTTAACTTCTAACGAAACATGCTTCAAAGGCTGTAGTACTTGTGTGTGTGTGATGAATATTCTCAATATAAAGCACAGTTACGCTATGTGTGTGATTTATAAACTGTAATGTAATTAAGTATAGTATGCATATGTAACATCATATTTGGTTTGTGTGTGTGTGTGTGTGTGTGTGTGTGTGAAAGCATTGAACAATTGATTTATTGGTTGGAGTGACTGATTTGTTAATGTTAACTTGCAGATAATCACCTTCGTTTGAGTCCCATTGTAATTCACGCAATTTGAATTTAAATTTCTAATAATAGTTCGAAGTAATTTGTTTGCTGATTAGTAATGACAAATTATTATCTTATGAAAGGAAATAATTAATACTAATGAGAATTTGAAAATTTATGATGAATAAGAACAATAAAAGTTTTAAGTAGCATTAATAATAGTTACCAATGAATGATAGGGCAGTTGATATGAGCAAACAAATAATTCACTAATAATATTAAATGACGATTTGTATAACAACACTGAAGATGGTGGAATTTTATTGTAGTAATTCTCTCCGAGAAAGCAGTTCTCATCAAATTTCAACAAAACGCAATCAGCTTTTCCTACCAAAACCCAATAAAATGTTTGGAATGAAGAATGTCAAAGCCTATGCGAAATTTTCCTATAATTTCGGCTGACACTGCCTTCGGATTGGTGATGTTTTAAATTAGGAAACGCCATTTTAATTATTGTACACGAGTTGTTTGCGACCATCAGCTCTTTTCTCACATTACGGTTGCAGTAATTAATTAATGTATTTAATATACCATACTACTAAAGTAACGCTAAGGGCCTAACGCGTGCCTGTATGTCATTCTTGCATGGTTAATTAAGTTATAAATAGTACAGAATATCCATTTCTCTGCGAAAATGAGCACATTTAGTTCATATTTGTCTATACGAAATTCTCAGTTTGGGATACTCTAGTTAACTTTGTTATATTTAATACTATATGACCTTATAGAATTGTTATTTATAACATCAGATTAAACTAATTGACGTATTATACCATAATTTATCAAATCTTTCCGATAACAATTAACTTATTAACTTCTAAATAAAGAACTCTGCAATACAGAAATTAATAGTAACAAATTTCTCTCCCACACACATACATACACATTCAAACATAGACAATGAACAAGGTAACACATGTGACTCGGAAGCACATGCAAACATAGAAACATACAAATATGATTAAACAATGTATACAAATACAAGTTGCACAATGTGTATTATACTGTTTGAACAAATTTTGCCATATGTACTATTGTTGATGTTTGTATAGATACATTCACATGTATACATATAAAATGTATATGTATACATGTGAATGAATGAATACGTGAATATACAATATGTGTAAATAATGTGTGCATGCTATAATAAATTTGTATATATTGGTCACGAATATAACATTCACTGCTTTCTCAATCATAAGGACTCATGATTAATAAAGAGTCTGTTGTTTCTCACATGCACACACATACACACAAACACAATAGCATATATATAAATATATATGAATATTTAATATAAACATATGTGTATACCTTATGAATATGTACCTATATTAAATGGAGATGTGTTTAAACAAATGTATATATGTGTAATAGTACACCATAGATATATAAGCTGAAATGAACTATATATTTTGTATAGAGATGTATAGACTAGGGCTGGGCCTATAATGGTCTTTGTTTCAGCAGACAGTGCAGTTGTGTGTGGATGCGCTATAAATTAAACTGCTCGGCTTCGCTTTCCAGTTATATAGAAATATTTGAAAGGATTGGCCGTCTGCTCGTCAGATCAGTGTTCACAGACTTTGTTGGTTGTACATTAGATTAGAGTCTAATCTAATCATTAGACATTTGTTAGTTATTTTTGTCTCCGAGAAGGCTCTTAATATAAAGTTTTTTCTATTTTTATTTTACTATTAAAGATTATTAATTAATTAAATTATTAAATCATTAAAATAAACAAATTGGTTGTTACTAAAAATTAGAAAAATTACTGAACAAGTTTATTTAGTGTACTGTACAAAAAAACTAAATAGTTCTTTATAAATAAAACAAGACATTCTGTATTTATCCAAGTGAGTCATCTTTCATTTCTTAAAATTTTAATGTTAATTTAATAATTTTTCGTTTATTATTATAATTATGATTTAATTTTTCTAAAATAATTGAAATGACAAATGAATTGATATGAATGAGTTATGTATTATTGTTGTATTGGCTGATGATTTGATCACACAATCATTTTATTGATTGATGACACACATGACACAAATATGTATTATAATATAAAAAATATAATACATATATTATAATATAATAATTATATTATTGTTATGCTATAATAATATATTGAAAGATCAATTTGCCATTTCGTTTGTCTAATGTCCAATCCTACCCCCGCAGGTCTTCAATGACTATGGGAAATAGAATGACTTCTCGTGCCAAGTCAACAGTGAAGTCATCAACATCAACATCAACATCATACAAGCCACCACCATCACCACCACCACCACCACCAGTTCATCAAAAAATGTCGGTTGATGATGACGAATCTGAGCCAGAACAAAACTTCCGGCCTTTAGAAATGTTCATCTCAAAAAGAAAGTCGATATGGCATTCACTGCCCTACTACAAAACTACAAATTTAGACAACAACAACATTTCAAACAACAACAACAATTACAAAATGAAAAATAAAAACTTGGGTTACGAAAGAACTTACTTTGAAATAACGTACGAGTGGCCAAGAAGGTTGGATGAAATACTTTCCCACGAACCAGCTAATCAGGAGAAGCAATTGAAGCACTCATGGAACCCAGACGACAGATCTCTAAACATCTTCATTAAGCCAGAAGATCCTCAAATCATCCACAGACATCCAGTTGCTCAGAGTACCGACTGCATCCGAGGAAAAGTTGGTCACAGTCAAGGTTTGCACTATTGGGAGATAACATGGAACCAGCAACAGAGAGGCACCCACCCGATTGTTGGAGTTGCAACAAAAGATGCACCCCTTCATTGCCCCGGCTACAGAAATTTGATTGGCAGCAACAAATATTCCTGGGGATGGGATATAGCAAAACATACAATCATCCACAACAGTATTGAGAAAACTTTAACGTTTGTAAACGGAATTGTAGAAAGAAGAAGAACAAACTCACCTTGTGATCGTGTCATTCCTGATACATTCGGAATGATCCTCGACATGGATGAGGGAACGCTGGGATTTGTGATTGATAAGAAATATACCGGCATCGCTTTTGGAGGGTTGAAGGGCAAGACCTTGTACCCCGTTGTGAACACCGTCTGGGGACATTGTGAAGTTCAAATGAGATACATTGCCAGTATAGCTTGTGAGTAGTTTTTTGACACAGTTATTTATCCAAATGATAACTTTTTGTTGCTAAATAATTGGTTAGAGTAACATTTTTAATTCGTTTAAACCTCATAACTGCATAATTTATAAAGAGGAATTTTTCAAATTTTGCAGCGCAACCCCGCTCCTTGCTCGAAACATCCAGGAAGTTGATTGAAAAGTGTGTTTTGGACAAGAGTTACAGTGAGAATTTTAGCACTCTCCCGATCCCAAAGGTGTTGGAAAGTTTTCGTGGTCAGAACCGGCCGTCACATTCTTCCGGTGGCCATCCAGGCTGAGGTTTTAAAACTTGCCAACATTAAAAACCTAACTGAGAAGGAGATAGAGGAAGAAAAAGAGAGAGAGCGGATAGAGAAGGAGAGAGAGATGCTGTTGAGGGAGAATGCTCGAAGGTTTTATGGTGGGAAAGACTATGACGATTATGTTGAGTTCAAGATGGAATACGACGTTTACACGAACTCACATAACAACAATACAATCTTTTAATATTTTTCAACTATTTTTCTTAATCATTTTTAATTTATTCTTCAAAATAGTCTGCTCAAATAATGTCAAATATAATGTAATTGATTGTAATGTCATGTCACTCAGTATTAACTTGTCACTCAATTAACTTGTCATATCATTAAATAGCCTGTATATACGCATTTGCACGGGAAATATTTTTTTCATAGAATGTACTCGTCTATTATAAATGTAAGAAGAAAAACAATGAAGTAATCTCAAGTGCATTTTATCTTTGTTGCGTCCTACCAGGGGACGGACAATGACGATATTCTCCGAACGATTCACAATGGCTACACATGTAAATACATCATCTCTTTTTAGTCATTCTCATTTCTATATCTAACTTAATTGTTTTATTATCACCATCGTCGTATGGACGTTGTTTCATTGTTCACGCAATGCTGTTTAAATTTTCAATTGCCTCAGTTTTTAATTTAGCGTGTGAATATTTTTTTCATTATTATTTTATTATTATTTAATAATAAAATAATAATAATTTAATTTTATTTCAATATTATTTTTTTATTACATCTTGTTGGAAAGTGCAGTTACGTTATGCCCAAATGTCTCATTATATTTTCTTTACCATTTTTTTTTTAGGAATGTTTCGTCTATGTGTATATTCATAATACATGTATTTTTATATTTTTACATATAACGGTGTAGCTAGGAGCAGCTTTGATAAATTCATGTTTCATCAAGTCTGCTGCTTTTCTTCTTTTGAATTTTAAAGCCTTGTTTATATTTGTTAGAAGGAAGACTGTCTTATTATCAGTTTGGTAATAAAAAATAAACAATTGTATTCTGTTTGAATGTAAGAATGATATTGCCTGCTCTCGTATATAGGATTATGGGTCATGTCGCATGTTTGCACGTAACACTCGTTTCGCCGTATCTCTTAGGTTTCCATTTTATGTTTAGCGTTGTGGCTTCTAACTAAACATCTTCAATAAGCCAAGTACTTGTAATGTAATAGTTCATTTATATAAATATTTCCAAATCACTATGGTGCAAATTGAATTTTATCATATCTCATTTCAACATTCTGTATCAATCTTTTTCAATATTTTATATTTACAAGAAGGAAGCTTTATATTTTTGTGATGTATGAAATGTAGGAAGTCGCAAAACTTTGCTAGCTGTAATGCAATGAATTAATAAAGATGCCATCTTAAATTTCTTGATTCCTGTTGTCAAATAAAAAAGTTAAAAAAAAACACACAATGAAGTACAATTCTTCTTAACAACTTCTTGTATGCGCGTATGGTGTATATACTCTAGTTGGATTCAATTAAGAAACCAACCAAGCGATCCTTCTAATTTAAACCAAATCAAACAATAGTATTAAAATTTTAAAAGCAAGATATATCAAATAATGTACTTTATATTATAGTCCATACACACGAAGACAGTACACATTATATATATATTTATATGTACAAAATGACAACTGTGTGTTCTGCACTCACCAACACACCAGCCAACCAAATAATTATTAATGCTATGCGATACAAATGTAGAAACGTGACTGAATTGACACAAACAATAAATCACTGGCCTCTCCTCTCATAACACACAGTGGAAGCTTTCAACACACACAATAACTAATAATAAGCGGATCAACCAGCGATAAAATCTTCATTAACATAGATTTAAGTACAACGAGCTGTATTTCTACAACAGTCATTACAATAGGAAATACTAATCCTATAATACATTACATAGTTATCTTATGGCAAAACAGCATGTATACATGTACGAAACACATACGCTGCATCATATTTGTATACCCATAACCGCTGTACACAATTATTCGTTTAATTAATTAATTCACACGCTCTCAAACATTCAGCTATTATTTACAATACTTCCGTGGGACCAGTGTAAGATTCAACAAACGATCAGTGAATTGAAAGTAGTAGCGATAGTAATTGTAACAAAAAATGGTTGCAACAATAACAAAAGTTAAAAAAATAAGCCGGATAAAAATAATGATCTAAAGCAAGTAGGGGAAGATCTGCTCCTAGCTGGAGATGGAAAAACTTAAAGTGAACTAAAGTCTGTTGCCATTGCTTATGGAAGAAAAACATTCTGTAATTGAAATATAGAAGAAGACTGAAGATGCTGAGCTATCTAACCTCCAAACCGACACATCGTCCGCTTCATTCGTCTCTCATTGATCGATGCATAACAAAATATTATTGAATACGTCAACAAGCGGCAACACTAACCGTGTTCATGCACAGTACAGACGCGCACCTAGCTGCTCTGATCCACTCAATCAGCTAATTATCAGCTGTTTTTTTTACAAACTTACAAAAATGAAAATAAAAATCCGATGAACAAAAAGAAAGAAGGTTTATGAAGCAACAGTAATTTTTGAAACACAATTAATCAATCAATCAATCGATCGATCAAATTTTAAAACAAAACAAAAAAAATTTAGCCAATCGATCAATCAATCACATAAAGGTCATTTTGAAACCAGAAGTTAAAACTTCAAAATGGCAAATCTTCTGTTGGCCTGCCTGTTAGGTCTGCCGACAACTTTCCTCAGTTCTCTCTTCCTAACAATCTCTCGAGCACTTCTCACCTTTGTCAGTTTCACAAACTTCTTTACTTTAACCTTCAAATTGTTGCTTTCGTTGTCAGTACTACTACTCCTACTGCCACTTTTGCCGCCTACTGCCTTGGATGAGTTGGAGTCACATGACCTCTTGCTTAATTTCGATGGATGATCACAGGCAGTAGTAGCCGCAGTTGCTTCGTTGTTGGCGGCTTCACAGATCGATTGAGACGCGCGCCTCTTTCTAAGTGAGTAAGAAGGTGTGAGGAGAGGTTCGTTGGATGAATGAGTGTTGTTACCTCTGCATGGATTAGTAGTTGAACTTGGTTTGTCGTCATTGCACGTATTATTGGAAGATGAAGCATTGAAATGCTGTGTTGATAAGTTAGCCACGTGCACCTGGATGCCTTCAGATGAATCATCTGCACCATCATCATCATCATCTTCATTGACATCGATCTCAGGAATGGTATCATCATCACCACCACCATCATCGCCAACGTCAGCAATGCCATTCTGATGATGATTTAAGAAACCTCCATAATCATAGCCTGGAACTTTTGTCTCATCACAATCGCCACTTGTGGATGGATTAGATGTATGCAGTGCACTACGAGCAACAACAAGCGCATTTATAGAATTAAAATCATCATCAACGACAGTACCAGCAATATTACTATTAGCAGTGCATGCATTGTTAACATCAGCCTCCCCGTCAATATTACGAACAACAGAAGAAACTCTGTCGGAAGCACCCCCCTCCTCCAGAGCAGTAGAGCCAAGGGGTACATCAGCGAGGTCTTGCTGCCCACTTCTTTCATGAGTAACATCAACTGGAGAACCATGCTCTTCTTCTGCCCAGGCGTCCTTCTCAACGACATCATCAACAACAACATCGCTCTTATTGTTGTCCTCATCGTCATCACCATCGCTAGTTTTAGCATCAGCCGGTTGAACAACACCAATATTGTGGATGTTTTTATTATTGTTGTTATCAATATGTGCGAAAATTTTCGACTCATGAGACGAATTAAAATTGAAGCTATTTGTAATTTTAATGATGTCATTGTGATTTTGTTTGTTATCGTTATCGTGGTCATGTGACCACCGACGAGTGTGTATGGTGTACATCTTGGCAGGGGTTGATGTCGTTGCCGCGAGTGACTTTGATTTGGTTTGCTGCTGGCAACACACAGACCCCTTCGAATCGTTGGCTGGCGATGCCAATGTGAGAAAGGTTGCATCACCGTCATCACTGACGTAATTGTTGGTGCTTCTTTTGATGCGGTGATGTACTTTATTTGACTGATCATGTTGTTGTTGTTGCCTTTTTTTATTGGATCTAGGAGAAGTGTCAGGACTTGTAAGTTTGATGCTGCAAGGACTTTTTATAGTCCTACTATTATTGCTGTGTTGATCTGTAGTTGTGGCTGATTTATTTGTGGTGGATAGACAGTTGTTTACCATGTCCAAATATGAGAACCGCTTATTTTGGAGACGAGCTGACCTCTTAATGCTGTGATCCAGATTTTGATTGGCTGGTTCCAAAAGTGTTCTTGTTTTAGACAAGGCCTGATTGGCTGAAATCACCCCAGATGCATTTTTATTTTTGTCTGTCTGTGGTTGACATCTGCACAATGTATGAATAATTTTATCTAATAAGTGATTTTCAATATTTATCATTAAAAAAATAGAAAAAAACCATTTCAACATTGAAAGAAAAATATTTACTAGCCAAAAAACCTAGTCTCATAATGAAAAAAACTAACATAATCTTAATACTAGCACTATCTTGTTGGTTAAATTTAAAGTAGGTACTGCTGCTGCTGCTGTTGTGGTTGACGGAGGGATGTAGAGGAGAACCACTGGCCGACCCACGTTCACCTGATTGGTTAATAATTTTAATTTATGCAAAAACTCGTCCCCAACCACAGAAATATTTGGTCTATTTCTTAATTGATGTAATTTAGGTTGAATAATTTGAATATACATCACTCATCTTCGTATCAGATAAGTATTGAATTGTAATGCTAACTACTTCTTTTATTACCAATGTGAACATTCTAAAGTAAAATGATTTATTTGCTTGCATATAAAGATAAAAAAACATACAAAAAAGTGAATAACAAGTGGAAGATATAACAAGATAACAAGATATTTCTCGTCATCATCAAATAGCAGTACAAGGTAAGGCAAACATACACAAAAACTGATTTCTGTTTCTGGAAGTACCACTTTTGTCTCCGTACTTGGACCTGCTTTGACTCTGATGTGCACTGGTTACAGCATTTGAACTTTTCGAGTGGCCACTACTCCTAACTTTTGGATTGACGTAGAAGCTGATGAGCATAAGCGCAGCCTCCTTGGACACAATTATTTTTGATTTGGACTTGGCAGCATTCATGTAGCGTATGAGGAAGTCTCTCTGCAGTTCGGAGCATGAAGTGAACTTCAAATTCAACATGGCACACCTCTTTTTTAAAATGCCCGTGTCTTTTGCCGGCATGATCTGCTTATGTATGTCAACCAAACGTATATACTCGTGTCCATTTATAAGTAGGCCAGGCAGGTCATTCCAGTACACGTTCACTGACGTTAATTCAGGGGGAGTGACTTGTGATGACGGAGAAGAGAGAGATGATGACGGGCTGGAAAGAGGTGGAGAAAGTTGGCAGGATGAAGTTAAGTGTTTTGGCCACTCCAACATCTGCTGTGGGTACTGCTGATTTTTGTTAGACTGAGTGCGGTGTTGTTGTTGCGCGTGAGTGATGATGTTGCTATCGTCCAAGTCGAAGTTGTTGTTGTAGTCAATGTTGTCGGTATCGTACGATCTTAATGATGTTGCTCTTGAAGTGGGGACAGTATTCAATGCTGGTTCTGTGAGGACCAACTCGTGCTGTTTAAACTCATGCTGTGACTGGTCATCAACCTTTTCATCATACGACCTGTCTGCACTCTCAATGTCTCTATCACTGTTTACTACATCTATGCTGCTGCTGTTGTGGTCATCTTCAACTGTCGTAACATTAATGTCACCATCATCTTCAATAGATGAACAGTCATTGATGTAATTTGATATATTAGCAACATTTGCATCTTCACTTTTAATATTTACACCAAGATTGTTGACGACTACATAGTTGTTGTTCCCGTTGTTACAATCATCGTGGTTATCAACGATGGCACTGACATCATTTGCTGATGAGGAGTCGTGGAAAACTTGAAAGAAGTCATTGATGCACGGAGGCATGTCGTTGGTCATAAGCAAGTCACTATCATTTATTTCATCCAATAACTGTGAAGATGTTGTAAAGTTGGGAAAGTCCAGACTATGATCTAAAAAAAATGTTAAAAATTAATTAATTAACTCAAGTTTTTTTTATATAAACATATTTAGCAACACTTATCATCTTACCTTTAGCCGTTTGATCGCATGTAAACCTCAGTCCACTTGTCTTGGTGTTATCGGCACCATCACAGCCATTCTTCTTGACCTGCTGCTGGCCTGTGATGCAAGCACTCAACGCTGAATGATAATCTTCAGCGTTCGTGTTTTGAATGTTGCCAGTGCTAATAATGCTGTCACTGATCAAATCAGTAGTGCTATCACTGATAGATGGGGCAGACATCGTGCTGAAGAATAAATTCTGGGCTTGTAGTTGCTGGACATCACTGCTGCTACTGTTGAAAAATAAATGTTGTGGTTGTTGTTGTGGCTGCTGTTGTAGATCAACATGAGGTGACAACATGAGGTCAGACGTAGGCAACATTTGCATGACCAGGTCAACAACATCCGATTCACTGGTTAACATTTTGTTGGTCATGTTGTTGCCACTGTAGTCTTCAGTTGATGTTGAGCAGAGATAGTTAGTCATATCATCAATGTTGAAGGTATCAGTTGAAAATTGCTGCTGCTGCTGTTGTTGTTGTTGGCTCGAGCTTGATGGAGTTCCAAATCTTAAAACATCACCAACAAAGTATAGGTTATATCAATTAATAACCACATTCAGAAAGCAAAATTTTCAGACTAAAAAAAAAAAAAATGGGTGAAAAATTTTTAAAACGAGAAAATAAAAATGGAGAAGATAGAAGAACAAACACCTGGTTGATTTATCAGTTGTAGCCATCTCCTTGTACCATGCGAATGTATTCAATGTCGACAGTGCTGATGAGGTGCTCGATGTTGTCATCCTCCCCACTGCATCGTCACAGCTCTTGTTATAACAAGTCGAGCCAAGCAGCGTGCTGCTGTTGTTGGTGATTTTGGAATTATTGTTAGTGTCACCAGCTGCCTTAGAAGCCAACGATGTTGCGTTTGTCGATCTCCTCTCGGATGACCTCTTCCTCGAAGAGCGTCCTCTCGTCGTTGCAAAGTATACAAAATCATTTTGGTACGACCCTGGTATCTTAACATAATTTTTATCTTCAGTTAGTGGTGGAGATGAAATGTCATCAGACGAGTCATAGCCGACAGATGATTGCTGTACTGTGGCTGATGACGTTATTGGATGCTGTAGTTTCAACTGGCTTCTATCCATCTTCTGAGAGACAGATTTTGGACGACCAACTGCATTTTTAGATGACAATGAAGACGATGATGCCGACGTGTGAAGCCTACGACCACCACTGCCGTAAGATGTCTTGTTGCTGGCTGTTGAAGGGGTCATGCTGTTCCTTTGACTTGCATCAATATTCTTGTACGTTGCGTTACTCAACTTACCATAATTATTATTATTTGTGTTGTTAGTATTGATGATGCTGCTGTTGATGCTGTGATGTGGTGCATTCTTAGAAGCATTAATAGCAGCAATGGAGTGTAGTTTGCTCTGCTCATGAGTGCAGTTCAGTGAAGCGAGATGATTCGATTGATTAGAAGATTGATTGGAGGAGTTGAGGACTGAAATAGTTTTGTTCCTTCTCAGATTTAAGCGATCTGTCCTGGCAAGGGTCTCACTGCTCATCAAGATAATCCCACTCTGGATTTCTGCATTAAATGTTGAAAACTCACAATAATCATGATCGATGATTGGATGCAGTTCATGTCTGCCAACATGCCAACATGATTTTGATTGGCTACTGATTGAATTCAGATGGCCATTTGATTGACTGTTGGCACCTGAAAGACCCACCTTCAAACTCTTGCTGTAGGGCTGGCTGGTTCGAGCTGATGTGCAAGTCTTCTGAGCAGACACAAGTAGAGGGGTCCTGCTCCAATTAGTGGCACTCGTCAGATTGTTGTTGTTGTTGATGATATTGTAGTTGATGTTGTTGCCGCTGTTTAAAGTCTTGACAACTCCATTGCTGATCTGACACTGAGTATCATTCTTCGACAATAGAGACAGACGGGCCTTCAAAAGGTTGTTGCTAGCAAATGAATGTAACCTTGGTGTTATAACTGCTGATGCCAATGATGATGAGGATGTAGTTGCTGACGACGTCGACAGACCACACATCAAACGAGGATTGTTATTCTTAATGAGAATTGTAGAATTGTAGTTTGAGTTGCCCTTTATAATTTTTGGCATGCTACCATTGCTGCTGACTACGTTGTTGTTGATATTGTGGTTGTTGCTGATGCTATTATTATTTATGAGTGGTTTTGAGCTGACAACCAAGCCCCCAAGTGCTGACTTTCTAGTGTAAAATAGTAAATTCTGTGACGACGAAGAAGGCATCAGTTTTATCATCTTCCTCGGTTCAACATCGAACGAATCAGCCGTCCCATCTTCGTTACTCAGTATCATCTTCTTATTGGACTGCACATCAACAACAGAAACATTATTTGAATTCTTCATCACGACACTCCCTCCATTAATATCATTGCAAGAGGTGATGTTGTTGAAGAAAGCAACGGTCCTATTGTTCTCTGTTCCCAATATCTCGCTAGAAGTCATGCCAGTTGGATAGTTGCTAGAACATTCAGATGGTTGTGACAGGCTCGACTGGCTCCAATCGCTTCTTGTCAACATCACTTCCAGGAAACTGCTAGGACCAGCTGAAGAAGACGGTAACAGAGATGATGATGCTGATAATGATGACGAAGACGATTCAAACACCAACAGTGAAGATGAAGTAGCCCCATCAACATTTTCTGTCCCTTTGTTAGAGCAATCATTCTCATCTACACCCACAGTTTTGTTGGGTGATGGCACTAGAGCATGTTGGTCGGCCTTGCTGACCTGTATAGGGCTATCGAGACTGCACCTTGAACAGTAGCCATCATCGTCGTCAGATTTCAAAGTCGTCCCCTGCTGATCGGTCATATCTTAAGTTAATGACTTCCTACCCCCTTCCACCTTCTCACTCCACTCCCTTCCAGGTACCTATCCCTCGATGACCCACGCACAAGTCTACCAACAACCGGTCCAAACAACTTGAATTTGAAAAATTAATAAATGTTTGATGTAGATAATGCAACGAGAATGTTGTTTGTCTGCCAAAGTCTTGGAAGAAATGTTATTTTGATTAAGTTGCAGAAGAGGTGTTCTTAACAGTTAGTTACTTTTTAAAGATGGAATCATACAAATGAGATGATACCATTTGATACAAATTGTATCAATTAGATGGAGAGATATATCAAATGATAGAGAGATATCATATGATGAAGACTAGCTGACTTGAATGAGATAAGTGTGTGATGGCTGTGGTTCAATGTTCTTCTCTATTCTGTTGTTCCTTGCAATACTTCTGAAATTGTTTCATATTCAATATTAGTTAATCTTCAAACATTACACTCAATCAATATGCATTTTCAATTATAAATAGTAATCCAAATAAACTACAAATAACATATAAAAACAAATTAGAATGCTTTAAAATTTTTTTTAAAATTGTAGATAGAAAGTGACAGGAGCACAATGAATCTGTGCTACGCATGAGATGATGATTGACAAACCTGCTGGTCCTAATAAAAGCAACCAACATCACCTCATAACACAACTTACTGCTGAAGCAAACTGTTCTTACAATTATCATCCATTCAAATCACATGATAATAAAATAATGATAATAGAGGCAACAACAGTTAATACCAATAATAATAGAAATAATGATGAAGATGGTGATGCAAATGTTGCAGCTGCAAATGAGTCATCATCAGAAATGATGAATGAATAACCATGGTGATGCATCAGCCTCTGTCTGTACATTGTTCAAGTAGAAGTGCAGGCAAACACACACAAATATATGCATACAAATGTATGTGTGGATATATATATATATATATATATATATATATATATATATATATATATATATATATATATATATATATAGTATTGTATGAATATATATAAATATATATATATATATATATATATATATATATATATATATATATATAT